ACGACTGGTGCTAGTGAGCTGTGTGGTGAGTTTAGTACTAGTGAGCTGTGTGGTGAGTGTAGTATTGCTGTTGGTGGTTCTGTAGTGACTTCGCTGGATGTCAACATGCTGGATGCATTGCCGGCCCTAGAGGGGCAATGGTGTGTAGTGTAACGACATCGCGTATACCACGGTGGTGTGGGTATAGTACCAGCCCTAGAGGGGCCCGGTGAGCGCTGAATGATAGCGCGAGATGGCACCACACTTTGCGTGCAGTGCCGACCCTACAGGACAGGGTGTGTGGGTGCCAGCCGAAGGATGAGGTTATTCGAGGCCTTGGCACTCTGGTTGACCCTGGAGAACACGTGACTAGTTAAGTCTACAAAGGGGCCCCAAGAGGGGGCTAGGGGTGGTCACGTGATTGGGACCCAGATCCTTCCCGACGATTTTGGAAGGTGGGCCAATTGTGGAGCCGGCCACGCCACAGAGAATATAAGCCGGGTCCCGAGAGGGACCGGGGTTGTTGTTGATCCTGGAAGAAACCCTTCATCTATGTCAGGCATCTTCTTAGTTATTTCGGTAAAGTCACGTAGAAGGGAAGTAATAAAATAATAAAAATAAAACATAATAAAATAAAATAATTCTCACGACGTTTCGGCTACAACGCAAGCAGCCGTCTTCAGGTGAAGAATGAGACAATGCCAAGCTAGGAGCTTATATATAAGCTGCGTTGGAGGTGGAGGAAAGAGCGCCTTAACAAAAGAATGTGCATGTGAAGAGAAATTTAGCATATTCATGGAAAATGAGTAGGAGGTGGGCGGGGGGGTTTCAAAGTCATATTATGCCCATGCATTATGCAGGATCAACAGCACCAAGGGGGGGTGCAGGGATTAGCAGTAACAAAGGAAAGGAATGTTAATGATATGTAGCTGCAGTTACTCAACCACCACGTAGAAAACTAAAGTATAAACTACATAAAAAACTAAAGTATAAATAGCATAGCACCATCAGTATACTTACTATACTCTACACTAAGCTGAGTTACTAACAGCAAGTAATACATTACAATTCTACGTCGTAAAAATTATATAATATGCTTCCATCTAAACTTTATTCTATTGCATCACACGAGCATATACCGTACTATATACTGCCAACATTTAATTATATACTGTATTGCTGTAAACCAACCTATATCTTATACATTTAATATAACACTATGTATTATTCTACCCACCCTAATGTGTGTCGAAATGGTTTATTACGTCCTTCCAATGATTGCTAAGCCAGAATCCATCTTCTCGGTTAAAATTGTCTCTGTGTTTGTATATGTGGATCGCCTCATGAACGAATCTCTCATGATAGCCAGATGGCTTGCAGAGAACCTCTGTCTTGGAGAAGTCAATATCATGTGAGCCCACTGAGTTGTAACAGTGATCTGCCACGGCTGAGGTGTTTGTCCTACCGTGTTTCAGGTCAGCTTTATGTTCACGGATGCGGTCCGAGACATGTCGTTTGGTTTCCCCAATGTAACTGCTACCACAGAGGCAACTTAGTTTGTAGACGCCAGGGTACTGTATGTCTGGAACCACATCTTTTACAGACGGTACCAGATCACGGATTTTATGTACTGTGTTGAATCGGACCTGGATCTTGTGTTTAATCAGTGTCTAATCAATGTCAGGCATGTCAAAAGTCCGGCCCGCGGGCCAATCACGGCCCGCGGGCAGATTTCATACGGCCCGCAGCTGTGGTCTTAACAGGACCCTGCGGGGTGGGCTGGTAGGAATAATACTAATACCGGTACAAGGATATCGACCGGGTATAGAGGAATTTAAAAGAAAATGATTTGTGCATGGGGGGTGAGCGATGACGTCCACACCCCCCTCCCCACTGACTCGCGCGCCCACAGAGCAAGGATTGCAACAGGCGATGTCATTGGCTGCGCCGGATGCGACGGCCATCTTGTTTAGTTCATTTAGTTCACGGATCGCAGGGGGAGCGGGCGGCCATCTTGTCAGACAAACGGACGACCTCGCGAAGCCTGTCGCAGTAGGCCTCGCGAAGCCTCCTGCACTAGGCCTCGCGAAGCCTCATGCAGTAGGCCTCGCGAAGCCTTCTGCACTAGGCCTCGCGAAGCCTTCTCTGCAGTAGGCCTCGCGAAGCCTTCTCTGCAGTAGGCATCACGATGCCTTCTCTGCAGTAGGCCTCGCGAAGCCTGCCGCACTAGGCCTCGTGAAGCCTGCCGCACTAGGCCTCGCGAAGCCTTCTCTGCAGTAGACCTAGCGAAGCCTTCTGCACTAGGCCTCGCTAAGCCTTCTCTGCAGTAGGCCTCGCGAAGCCTTCCCTGCAGTAGGCCTCGCGAAGCCTTCTCTGCAGTAGGCCTCGCGAAGCCTTCTCTGCAGTAGGCCTCGCGATGCCTTTTCTGCAGTAGGCCTCGCAAAGCCTGCCGCACTAGGCCTCGCGAAGCCTGCCGCACTAGGCCTCGCGAAGCCTACTGCACTAGGCCTCGCGAAGCCTACTGCACTAGGCCTCGCGAAGCCTTCTCTGCAGTAGACTTAGCGAAGCCTTCTGCACTAGGCCTCGCGAAGCCTCTGCAGTAGGCCTCGCGAAGCCGCGCTTTTCGTGCACAAATGAGGCGATTAAATGTATCTCGTCTCTGTGTTAATAAGCCTGCCGCGCTAGGCCTCGCGAAGCCTGCCGCACTAGGCCTCGCGCCGTGCTTTTCGTGCACAAATAAGGCGATTAAATATATCTCGTCTCTGTGTTAATAAACGTTTCTTGTCTCTGTGTTAAAAAAACGTGCTGCGTTTCAGTAAAGTAATTTTGAAAAAAACGTGCTGCGTTTCAGTAAAGTTAATTTGAAGCGAAGTTTAAAGTTTCGCCGTGAGGCGCCGGAAGCGACGGCCATCTTGTTTAGTTTACAGATCGCAGAGGGAGCGGGCGGCCATGTTGTCGGACAGGGTCATGCCAAGTGTTTGCAGTAGGGGGCGATGTTGATACACGGACGGACGGACGGACACATTAATCTATTGGTGGTCTGGTCCACTTCGTTCCTACCAGTATAATGTGTTATGTATGGCTCGCTTGCTCTGTCAGAATAAATCAATAAACTTTAAACATGTTATTCCTCTTTCCGCCACACGGTGGCAGCACCATTCTAATGCTCTCTAATTTTGCATCCGTGCCGCAAACCCTTCTCGAATCATTTCTGCCATGGCGACTGCAAAAAAAGAGAAAAGTTGACAGTGAGGGTCGCCGCTTTCAGGAGCGGTGGGAATTACAATTATTCTTCACTGGAAATCGAGGAAATTGTGTTTGTCTAATTTGTAAAGAGACGGATGCCTTGTTTAAGGATTTCAACGTAAAGAGACACTACGGGACTAAACATGCTACAATATACGACAAGCTAACAGGGAGTGACCGCGCTGAAAAAGTAAAGCAACTTCAAGCTGCTCTGGCATCGCAACAGCGATTCTTCACGCCGGCCTGTGAGTCAAAGGAAAACATCACCAAAGCCAGCTACGAAGTGGCCATATTAATAGCTAAACATGGCAAACCTTTTACTGAAGGAGCGTTTATCAAAGACTGTGTCATTAAAATGGTGGAGAACATTTGCCCCGAGAAGAAGCAAGACTTTATGAATGTTTGCCTGACACGCCACACTGTGGCACGGAGAGTTGAGGACATATCGTCAGATATTCCGAGAGAACTGGGGGACAGGGGAGTGGCTGTAAGTGAGCACCTATTAAAGTCAGCATGGCATACGAGGTGGCGAGTGGCCAGCACCACGTCCTTCTCCTTTGCCTCCCAAGTGGCGATGTTTACACACCGCATGAGCTTCCCATGTGAGGCTGAGTCGACCTAGGGGAGGCCCAGGACTGGTGTTGGCTGTAAGCGGGGATCAGACTCGGGCCACCGGATTCGTAGTGCAGTATGCTAACCGCTACAATAGCGGAACATGCTTATACACACGCGCGTACCTGCATACACATGCGTATACATTTTCACTTTATTGATTACCGTCAGACAATTAATTCTGATAAACATTGCTTTTGCGAGAGGGACGTGATACGCTGACCTCCAGAGAGGTGTGCGTGTGTGTGTGGCGGACTCGTTTGTAGTTGTCACCACATAATTGACTATTATTGTCCCGTTAAGAACATATTTACCAAGAACATGGAGCCACGTTAGGTTGGCATTGACACGTGACACATCAGGAAATATGTATCGTTGCTCTTAACGGCACAAACGGCCACGCATTCAGTTCTTTTGAGCTGATGCTCTGGATAAGGCAGAGAGATGTTGTACATGCAGTGCTGCTGCGCACCGCTGTGTGTTGTTAAATCGCGCTAAACTATCACGAGAGGCGTCTGAGCAGAGTGAGGCGTCGTATGTGATGGACAACACGTCAAGAGAGAGACAACGAGGTTAGACGCATAGAGAGACACACACAGAGCAAACATCAGCACGTCATCGCTTCTCTATACCTCAATCACCTCAAGCCTCCCGTAAACCACGTGACTCCGGTGTGGCCACGCCCCTGTGAAAACAGACTCTACTCCTCCTCCGTGCAACTCACTGTTTGCTCGCTCCTTCCTTCTCACTTCCGTCTCCTCTCATCATCATCATCATCACCCTCCCATCATACCCGACATCTTGGCCCGGTAATTCATTCTCCCGCCTCCTCAGAATAATAATCAGAAAATGTATTTATACTGGAGGAATCCGATGAGCTATGAAGCTTATTTTCACAGACGTCCTCCTCCCCTTTCTACCCGGCGCTCCTTCTCCATTCCTCCATGCAAACTTTGTCCTTCTCAAGGAGTTCAGTCCGGGCATATTGCTCCCCCCCACCCCCTCCCCCAGTCCACCCACTTCCTATTTGCAGCCTTTTCTCGGTACAGACTCCACTGCCCCTTCCCATGTTCGTGCCACGTGCTTATAACACATTTGCGTGCACACTAAACAAATGAGGAACTTTCACACTGGGCGCCGGTGACCGTGAATCTCCCGGCCGCCTAGTGATTGGACAGCTCCAGGTGCCTGGCCTCTGCAGAGAAGAAGTCCAGGCGCAAGATCCGACCGAACGCCGTTCGGAACGGCCGATTGATGGACGCGTAGAGGATCGGGTTGACGGTGGAGCTGATGTAGCCGATCCAGGACACGACCTCATAGGCGGTCGACGTGTTCTTGTAGAAGGGAAACACGATCACCAGGATGTAGTAGGGGAGCCACGACAGCATGAAGCACCCGATGATGCTGCCCAGGGTCTTGGCGGCGTTGTGCTCTCGCTTCATTGTTGATTTCCACCGCTTCGCCGCTTCATCGCCATCATTACTACCACCAGAACTACCACCGTTGGCCACCTCGACCCTCTGCGCATGTATGGGCACGCCAGCTGTGACCCTCCGTGCTTGCCTCCTGGCCACGCGGTATATCTTGGCGTAGATCAGCAGGATGATGAACATTGAGAGGAAATATGGGCACATGCCGTAGGCGAAGTGCAGCCCCAGGTCTACGGTGAACATGCAGCTGTCCGGACAGCCCCCTCGCTCGATCGTGCCCCGAGACAGCGTGGGGCTCAGGCTGAGCAGCGTCGGGGTGGTGAAGATCGCAGCTCCGAGCCAGCAGAGCGCCAGCATCACGGCCACGGTGCGGTCCGTGACCCGCGTCGGGTAGCGCAGTGGGTCGCAGATGGCCACGTAGCGGTCGTAGGCGATGCAGCCCAGGTGGATGATGGAGGAGGTGGTGAGCGTGTAGTCGAGGAAGTAGTGCAGGTGGCAGAAGAAGGAGGCATAGAACCAGCACTGGTAGATGGCGTGCATCATGCTGAAGGGCATGATGAGCAAGCCGATGAGGAGGTCGGACACAGCGAGCGACAGCGCCAGGGTGTTCGCGTGCGTCTGCAGCTGCCTGAAGCAGGCGATGGCTACGATGATGAGGAGGTTGCCAAGGATGGTGGCTATGATGAAGAAGATGATGATGGCCAGCGTGAGGATGCGGTCCTCCTCCGACAGACTGGGCCCGGTACAGTTGTAGTACTCGTAGTGCAGGGAGCATGGTGAGACCGTTGTGGAGTTGTCCATCGTCCAGCGAGCTGGAGTGGGAACACGGCTTTGGGCTGTGTGAGACTGTACGGTACGTATGGCAGTAGATCAATACATGTGCTGGTGTGGTATGAGTTACGCGTAAGTTGTGTTGATACACGCTCGTGTTGTTTGTCGCAATGCATGTGATATTAGAAGATCTGGACACCCAAAACACAAGTGGGCAATCAGAGATTCTCGCTCTTATGTTTGTGCGTGACTCGCGCTTCGAATTCCATACGACGGAGCATATAACCTCGCCCTGCCTGAACTCTAAAAGTGCTGTGGTGGGTGAGTGGGTGACCGGGTGAATGGATAGGTGAGTGAGTGGGATAGTGGATGGGGAGGTGGGTGACAAAATGGGGAAATTGGTGGGTGAAATTTGTGAGTGCATGGATGGGTGAATGGGAGAATGAGTGAGTGGGTTATGGAATGGGTAAATAGGTGGATAGAATGAGTGGGTGGGTATGCAACACGTGTGTGCATGTGTATGCTTGCACTCTATGGCGGTACCCCAGGGTACCATAGTACCCCGGCTCTCGCACAATGTCCGTGATGCAGTCATTTTTAGTCTGTTGATGGCCGGCGATGCGGCAATCGACTCATCTCGACGAGCTGTACACGATGCAGCACTACAGTGCGTACGAGCGTTCAGGGTTTCAGCGCAATCGTCCTCGCTGCGTTTCGATATCGCCGAGTAGCACCGATTTCGGATTGATTGGTACCACAGTCACGGAGTTAAGAACACCCCTGGAAAAAAAAGTGTCCCAGAAATAAAATATTTAATTGCCTCGGCCATTTTGCATTATTTGGTACCCCAGGGCACCGCCATAAGGATTAATTGTGGGGAGCGGTGGTGTAGCGGTTATCGCACTGCGCTACGAACCCAACGACCCCAGTTTTAATCCCGCTCATGGCCGCCAACACCAGTGTCGATTATCTTAACCAGTCTTGGGCCTCTCCTAGGTCGACTCAGCCTCAAATAAGTGCCTGGTGCGGTATGTAAACATCGCCACTAGGGAGACAAAGGCGGCTGGGCGTCGTGCTGGTCACCCACCCACTTGTGTGCAGTAACGGCCTTCATGGGTGCTGCTCGCTAACCACTCTTGCCCCAAAAGTCTGCTCAGGCTATATGGGGGAACTTTGTCTTTGCATGCCTTCATAGCTACTCACAGCACTTGGTGCAATATTGTATCGCTCTGAATCTGTTGATTTTGTGTATGCCTTTGTACATAGGTATACATTAATGCATGCTCGCTAGCATCCCGAACAGAATGCATTTGCAAATGCATGTACCTATACATGTAATATTCACTTAAATATTGATTTTATGCAATTTCAAATGTCTGTGTTCATCTCTTTGTGTGTCTCTCTCAGTGCGATTCGCTGCAAGCACTGGACGCTTTTTTGACCAATGTTCGGACTTTAGTTACGGTTTTTTCGTTCAGTGTAGTCACAACAGCAACAAAAAAGAACGAAGACATATCATATATTTTAACGTGCAGAGACAGAACTGAAAAGACATCGAAGTATATAGTCTTCCATAATAGTAGTTTTTTTGGGTTAGTTCGCGTATATATATCTGTTGTTAAGCCCGCCACCACCCGATACAGCCAACTAGAAAGGGTTGTCACGTAACAGAACCTGCCAATTCGTTACTAGTACAGCACTAACCGGTGTGTTGCAGAGCAAAGCCACAACATTTACAATCTGAGCACGACGTGTCGCCAATAATTACAACTAGCTTCATCAGGTGACAGCCATATTTGTGGAAAAATCCTCCTGCTCCATTCCTTAAAAAACTGCTTTTTGTGTTAAACTGATTTATTGTCTTGTCTTCAGCCATCCTCTATCCGAGGGTTCACCGCACCATGGGTACCTTCGTCACTGACTTTTGTTTTCTGCTGTTCTCATCGTCTGTTCCAGCATGAGCCTCGTCCGTGCTTTGATGTTATATATCCATTACATATATTTTCATGTAGATATTTATTTAGTGATACCTCGATTTAAGCCCCTCCTCTTTTACATCGTTTCGCAAATACGTGTCTGTATGCACTGCATGCATCTACGACTATTGTTGGGATTTTAGTTGAGATTTTTCGTTGCCACACTAACAGGTGCCAAGTCAATGTAAGCCAATCTACATTCTCGTTCAGTGTAGGCGCAAAAGCAACTGGAAATCACATCGGAGTATATATATATAGTAATGCCCTGATTAAAGTCCCACCCTTATGCATCATTTTGCAAATACGTCGTCACTTTATTAATACCACAACCTGATTTGCGTCGCCCCAACCCACACTTACATCGCTAACAGCATCACCCGTCCTTGCTCGTATTCGTTGCCTCGAGCTTCTCCTCCACCTACCCTGTATATCGCTTCGATTTATGTCGTTTCGATGTTCGTCGCACATTTCAGGAACGTATCGCCGATGTAAACCGGGGTATTGCTGTACACGGATGCACTGACGAGATAGAGGCAAGTGACAATGCGTTCGAGTGCTGTTGGATAACCGAGTTCCATAGTGAAAAGTGACCAATTGTGCCGATTAATCAATATATATTCACGTTTCTAATATGTATATATTAGCTGCTGTGACATTTATCGGAGAATTATGTTTGAATGAAATTCGTTTCGAGGAATGAAAGAGATGCGCGTTTTAAATTACATTGATAGCCAGGCAGAGGAGAACGTGGATTAGATGACACCCGCAAGTTAACGTCATCAGTCAAACTCTTAAGAACAGTGAGTGAGGCTTGGGCAGAATGCGCCATGGCTAGAAGACACGATGGGCGACGGGCAGGAATGATAGCGGAGTGGCGGTCAACGCATTGAACGCGTCGGATAGAATACGACCACCTCGGGAGATGGAGCGATGAATACATCTCGTGCTCAGGTGCTGGGTGGATTAACGCATCAGGATGATGAGAAGTGGCGACGAGGCCTTCATCAAGCAGTGGATTGACCGTGGCTAATAATGATAATAAATACGTGTTCAAAGCGCATGCCAGTCAGATCGTCAGCCACCCACCTGAACACCTCGCCTCGCTGAGTCGCCACTCCGCGGTGAGCGATGCTTCAATATTTATGAAGCTTGGAACACGGCGATATAAATAGGCCCCGTGGCGAGCCCTAGCGAATCGCTTAATAGCCTCGGAGGACCAATCCAATTAAGCCTAATGATTCACACAAACCAGCGCGTCGGGGATTTATTGGGGGAAAACTCGGTTTATAAAAATATATATATTACGGGATTCGTTCATGGGGGGGGGGGGGAGGGCCCTCGAGGCAGTGCCCTAGAATATCGTTGTTGTTTGGTGTGCGTTATTTGTTGGTAATTTTAAATGGGCGTCGTAGTGACGAGATGTTAACTACCTCGCCTGGTATACAGGACGTCGTGGGTTCGGCCCCGGCCCCGACCCTGACGCTGGTATTTTGGGAGTTTTCTCTCTCCGTGGTCGCGTGGATTTTCCTTAGGATCTTCCTGTTTTACCTCCACATTTAAATTAACATGCCTTTAAAAAAAAAATTCGCTGCAATAAATGTGCACGTGATAAGCCACTTCGTTGAGCTATTATTTGTGGCCAGGTCGCTTTTGAATAAAATAGCTATATAGCTCAGTGGGCCTTTCCTAGTAAAACAAGAAGCTTAGTTTATCTTCTTGGTTCTTTCGGTAAACAATAAAATGATAGAAATATAACACAATAAAATTCTCACGACGTTTCGACTGCAACACAAGAAAGAAAATGTTCTTGCTGTGTTTTTTTCACATCGGATGATTACTTGTGTTGCAGTCGAAACGTCGTGAGAATTTAATTGTTTTATATATTTTTTTATTTTATTGTTTCCCTTCTACGTGACTTTACCGAAAGAACCAAGAATATGAATCCCTGCAGTCACGAAAGCTTTAAATCAAAGTTTAGTTTAGTTTTGAAAATTATATTTAAAAACAATAATGCACACGGTATTTAATGGACGCATAAATCGGTGTCACTTGAAAGGTGTGGCCTTTAATAGAAACGCGTTTGAATGTTGAGTTTATTTGATTTGCTACACTGATAAAATGGTCACATTTAGCCAGTCGTCTAGCTATTTTATTTTAAAAGGTGAAGGTGCAAGTAAGGCATGTGTTTTCCTCGAATAGGGACGTAAATAACGTGGGGCCTTTAAGACACAAACATGAATTATGAATCGTAGCATTGGCCACGAAGCCTCCGTGTTAAATTCCCCAATATTCTACGGAGCAGACCTGGTTGGTTTGGGGTCACCCATAAGCTATGTAGCTTGGAGTCGGAGCTGGGGCTCTGGTGCAGCTTGGTTATTTGCCTGCCGCCAGTGTGTTTTATATAGTATGTATACTTGTATAACGCAAACATATAAGTAGCTGGCATTTTTTACATGGTCATAAGAAGTCCAAATATCTATGCAGTTGTGATGTCACAGTGCACATAGAACAATTATGTCACAAAGCATGGCACAGATTTATGATGCAACATAGCATGCTGTGAGGTCACAGAGCACAGAGCTCCTTGTAATGTCACAAATAACCCCTACCCTCTCCTCCTACCCCTCGAACGTGTCCCCATTGCTCATCCAGTTGTGTGTATGAAAAGTACACTGGCAACACCAAGTGCTCCGCCAGTATTTACTGCATTGAGATGTACGAGAGAAAATAAATATGCTTGAATTTTGCAATGTTTATTGGCTCAAATGCAACACGATGTATTGATGTTATCATTAGATATTTTACATTTAAACAATGCTTACATAGAATAATGGAGTTACTGTCAATAAAATACACAACTCATTTGTAGATCGTGTGGCTCCAGAGTCGGAGCTATGTTTACGTAGCCACAGTTTGAAGCTCTTCTGGAGCGGCTCAAGAAATAGAGCAGAGGTCAATCTGGAGCTGGAGTCAGTCTGGAGCCGGAGTCAGTCTGGAGCCGGAGTCAGCCTGGCGCCGGAGTCAGCTTGGAGCCGGAATCTGCCTGGAGCCGGA